CCGAGATGGCCGAGACTCAACAGGTGCTGACTGTAGTTCAATTAGATTGAACCCTAGCCAGCGATGAGGGCGTATCCCCATACTTCGGTTTGGGTGCTGGCATGGTATTCAAATTTCACTTCTTTTTTCATTTTTGTGGTTTTGGTTTCCGTTCCATCTTTACACTTGCCTGACAGCGCTTAGAGACTTTTTGTATTTTGCGCTCTATAAATTAATAACCATTAACCATTAACCATTAAGCTTAGAGTCAGGCCAGCTCCATGAAATAAATTCAGTTTGTACTTTTTCAGTACTGTAGTTCGTTCTGTCCTTTTATGCTACTGTAAAAAAATACTGTAGAATACGCGCACGACAGTGCATGCATGGGCCTGGCCTATAATAAACTGGGTGGAGATGGAAATTGCTATGCTACACCGCACATATATTGAATTGTACAAAACCACAGTTGTTAGTTCTATATATCGATGAATAGGCCTATATGCATGATTAACTAACAATAGTCGAGTCGTCGAGTAAACGACACCGGAACGATTTCTGTGTGCACATACATATTAGTTCAATCTGGAGTTTGTATACACTGTCATATATATTTGAGTCTTGAAAAACCAAGCAAATAGTAGGGGTGTTCTGTGGGGACTCAAAATTGTGCTATTGGCCTGTTTGGTATGTGTATTATATTTGTTTAAATGGTAGGCTTATTTGCCATAGCAAAGAGACATATTATTTGGTGTAATAGTCTTGTCAAATGTTAGTCAGTTGTAGTTGGTTTTTGGACTGTTGTTGCGCAATTGTAGCTATAGTTATGTGATTTAATAAAATAGGTGGACCTTCATTGGAGTAAGTTTTTTTACAATAAATTATGTAAAATGCCAAATCCATTGACTTTTGCTAAGGCTTACCAATGGTGAATATGCCAGTCGCAGTTGTTCATTTAATTTACTAAAAAAGACATATTATTTTGACAGCCTGTGATCTAGTAGGCCTGAAGAACTTCTGCATTTAAATTTTTAAGTATTACCGTAGATTGTGGCTTAAAAC